TTGGAGAAAGTAGAAGAGACGACTACAAGTAATGGTTTTTACAAAGGTCAAGGCTATTTCTAGATCTCTGCTAGACTCTTTTGTATATTCAGCAAGCAAGTTAAAAGCGTTCTTGTACAAGATAACTGGCAGGTGGTGCCCTTGTGCAAAAAATTTTAATAGAAGCATATGCTTCTGTTGACGAAGTGAAAGTAGTTGGTCTAAAGGTGAATAACAAGCAAGTTTTCAACACACTCTCTATCAAAATTTAAGGATACCTGCAAACCAAAACTCTCACCAAAATCCCACTTGCTAGTCTTTACGAAATTTCAACAAAAAGTAGGAAATCCAGCTTACCTCCATCGAAAGATCGACAACAACAATCACTGCTGAAAAAGGAAAGTCACATACAGGAGTACATGGTCACTTTTGGATTAAAAGCACCTGAACGGTTTCCTCAAGAGGTTGCAGATTTATGAGACCTGTGTGTTGAACATACTTTGCCCAGGGAACATGCATATCGCATGAGATTACGCTCGCAGAATACTGTGTCGACGGAATAGAGAAAATGCAAAAGAAATTTCGAACTTGGATCTCTACTCAAGAATGAATATTATAGATATCCTAATATAGATATAAATAATTAGCATAGAGTTTAGTCTAGTTATTTAGTAGTACTATATAATTTTTACAATCCAGCATGGGTTTAATAGTGCTATCTTTGTTTTCTTTTCTTTTGTTTTTGTTTTTTCTTTTATATGTTTTTGGTTTTATTTGTGTAGGTGGATCGAATTTGGTTGCCGAGATATCACCCTTTTTTTTCTTTTTGCCCTTTGAATTTGTGTTCGTTCTTCTTTTTCTGAAAGAAAAGATGATACTGATATGGCGTGTGGTACCAACCAATGATCAAAAGAGTTATGCCTCTAGGAAGTTAGAGGCCCAGAGGGAGGCAAACGGCCACTAGGCGATGTCACACCTGGGCTTTTAAGTCGAGTGAGTTACTTACTGCGATTAAAGATAGTAATTTTAGTTAAGAATTCTTGTAATTTTTGCTTGATTTACATTTTAAATAAAAGAGTGGCAGGACATGCCAAAGAAAAAAAAAAAAATTAAAAATGTATAATAACTAATTGCAACTAATTTATAAAGTTGATTGTAAATTTTGATTACTACAATTTAGAAATTTTTAAATTAATAACTAAAATATATAATTTTTAAAAGCTTCAACAATTAAAATCATTATAAATCAAATATCAATAAGCAAGATATCACTTTAATAATAAAAAAATTCCAAATTTAAAAACTAAAAAATTAAAATTAAAAAACTTAAAAACTAAATAACTTTAAAATTATACCACCTGAAATATTACTCAGAACTAAGAGTTAAAAAAACTAAAAAACTAAAATTTAAAACTAAATAAATTTAAACCCGCATCCCAGAGCATTATCCAGGCTTAAAAGCTAAAAAAAATTAAATTTTAAAATTTAAAAAAAAACTTACAAACTAAATAAATTTAAAACTATGCCCTCAGAGTTCGCCCGGGACTGAGAGCTAGTTTTAATTCGGATTACTCAGATTCGAATTATCATCCGAATATGCCAAAGAAAACTCGAATTTAATCCGCAAGCCCCTGAGAAATAGGATTGAAGCTCTAGAATATAAACAAGATATCGATATTCAAATTTATAAATCTAAACCTCATACTGAGTATTACTACAATATATTTTTACTCTAAGCACAGACATGTGAATGTGCCAATCTACTAGTGCTAATATAAATAACCAATTAAATAAAATTTTATTTAGAGCATAGCACTTTATTTCATTATTTCTTGAATATATATTTAAACTTTTTTACGTGTTTGCATAGTCCGTTCTTCGCTTAAGCAATAATGTCGCGCAGCCATCTAGTAAATATATTAAACGTCCGTTAAATCAACCGTCAATTGTCTGAACATTTGCTGATCATTGTTTACTATAATTAAAATAAAATTTCAAATACTTCAAATAAAAGAAAATATGAAGTATTATTATGCAAAACCAGTTCGTGCATTAAGTGCTATCGTTATATGGAAATTAGACCATTCGCCTTTGTCCTTAGTACACTGATGATTTCATTGTAATCATTTTTTAAACAACCATTTTTTTTCTAATTCTGATTCATCTGCTGCATTAAGTTCTTGAGATTTTGCCAGATCCTTATGAAGCATTCGAAAAAACCAACGCATAAGATTATCAAAAGCGCTCATATAATGGGATTCGAAGTTCCAATTTGAATAATGGGATTCAAAACTCCAATTTGGAAAATCTTGAGATTTCACATCACCCCACTCTTTATTTAATCCGTTAAAACGTATACCGTTTTTATTTATACGTTCGTGACATGATGCTGCAACTAGTTTATTCGTTTCCAAATAATGTGTCCCACCAAGACCTCGTGGCTGATGACTAGTATGATGAATTTTTGTTTCGCCAACATCATTATTATGGCCTCTTCGTCCCAACACAAAGCTCCACACCAGTAACATGATTCCGTGCATCCAAGTTTTTCCATAATTAATTTATCATCAGATAGATTCAGTAGCAATTCATTTTTTAGTCGATAACGACCACTTCCTTTAGAAATGTTATTTTTCTCTGTATTAAGCACATTCTCTATAATTTCACGAAATAAGGTAAAATTTTCTGCAATTGAATTATCTTTATCATTCAACTGGTAGTCAACACCGTCAATACCGTCAATTTGTGCTATATAATTGTTTACAAACATTTTGATATCTTCATAACTTTTAGAATTGTGAATTTTCTGACAAATATCTTCAAGTTCTGTATTATAAGTTTCTTTAAATTTTTGTCCATAATCTCTTGTATCTAAATTAACTTTATCTTTAAACCACTTTTCAATACTT